CTTTGGACTAGGTGCGTTCTACTAAGTTTCCCTGACAACAGGACCAAGTTGCGACAACGAGGTCAAACCAATTCTACTCTATTTATTTTTTCAAAATGAGGAAAGAGCAGAAGATACTTGATAAGCTAAAGATATTCTTTACTTCTTAATTCACTCAGGTTATGTATGCTGATCCACCTAATGTTATTCGGCTACCACCAACTGTGAGCCTATCTGAACAAAGCTTCTCTAACTTCTCATTTGAATCCACCAGAACAGATAGTGGGCCTTGGCAACAAGCGGTCCAATGGCCTACGGAACCCAGTTTATCAAAAGCAGCATTCACGACTAGTACAAATTATTATTCACCAGGCGCCTATGGCCCATTGCCCGAAGGACAATGCACAGATTCTGATAACGCCAATGAAAAGAAATTAGTTTCTTCGCTGAAGCAGCCGGGCGAGCGCAGTGAGCCAAAACGTGTTCGTTATCGACATCCTCTGGCGAGCACAGTAAACACGGCGGCTACCTTAGCAAGACGAAAGATGGTCAAGAATGCCGCCAGTCTGGAAACAAAGAAGGCCTAGAACAAAGTTCCAAAAAAGATTTTTAACTCTTTTTATAAGCACTCTAATGTGTTCAGACAAAATCTGCTAAATATTTTACAAACAATCCGGGCTCAGTGACTCTATGAATCCTTAACCATGCCTCATTATTACCCCTAGATTTATCTAAAATCTAATCTCTGCTACCCCAAGGTAGAGAAGCTAATCAACATAAGGGATGAATGAGATTATTTAGAAGTTCATACCTCAGTGAATGCACGCCCATGATGAAATATGCATTAATTTTAAGCCAGATCATGCTTGAAAATTAACTAATGCACCTACAAAAGAGCCATTAAACTACGCCTAATACACCTTTTGTACAGGTCTTATCCGCGATCTTACCTCTCAAATGTCTCCGAAACTCATTCTTTCTTACTAGTTAGGTCAATATTTTGTATAACAACTATAAATAAATGTATATTCAATACCTAAGTACGCATGACAATAAGCACACACGGAACATATGAACAAAAGAAAAGAGCCTTGAAAAGTTACAATCCAGTCATATTTATTGGTAAATTATGCCCAGCTTCTCCCTTAAATTGCAGTCAGAAAAGTTGCAAGCTGTCTTAGGCTGTACCACAGATTAAGGTGCCAGATTTCTTAGAAAATGAAGGCACTGAACTTTTGGCGTATTCTTTGGTCTGTATTGAGAAGGTTCTTGTTCCTAAAATTGGAGGCATTCTTAGACGCAAAAGATCGAGGCTGTGTTGCCATAAGTTATAGTCACCAAGAAATTGTCTAAAAAGCAATATGTTTAAATGATAATAAAGTTCATATTAAACGCTTCATAATAACAGAATTTACCGTGGAAAGGTGGAATTTTGTGCTGGATTTGGCAGTTGCCTTGGGATAGACACATTCCTTGTCAGAATCTCGAACCAGACATAGAAGAATAAAATGAGCTGATTTGTAATGAGGAGCTAGATAACTTTACGGAGAATTCCTTGCTATCATTTTTTCATTTCAGCTTCAAATTAGGGTTAAGGGAGCAGAGCCTAAATATGCTGTAAAATTCAAAGTAGAAAATTTCGACATTATTTGTTTTTTATTCAAGGGAATAAGAAGACCTGTGTACAAATATGGGGTCACCCCAGTCACCACTATTGCCTTTCGAATTTCTATATTGTTTTTTTTCCATTTCAAGCATTTCATCATGAAAGAAATTTCGCATTCAGATATTATCAGCATACTTAAAAGCATTTTAAAACAGAACTGAGGTCGGCTATCTCCTTATAATAATTTGGCCTATATACATAATCTGCCAAAATACTTTTTAGGCATCCAAATTCTCCTGAATAGCACAGCCATACATATCCATATCCTTATGCATACCGTTGCAAGTAAACTCTTAAATAATGTATTTAGACGTAAACAAGACAATATATTACGTCTTTTCTACTCACTATGCAGCCATGTGCTTATTCTTTGCATTAACTTGAAAGGTTTTACTCTCTAAATAATTCCGCCAGCTTAATTGCAGATGAGACTACAACAAACATGAAGCATCATTCTCTCGCACCAAAAACGCTTTATAAATGTGTACATCCAAACAAGAATTTTTATAGCACTTCCACTTTCTTGCCAAAAAAGATTTGTAAATATTGGATTGTCTACACTGATGAAGCAAATAAAGTTAATGTGAAAAGAGTGTCCTCAAAAAGGGTATAATATTAAATAGATTCATTCTTGAATCTATCTATGTATTTTCTTCTCTCTCCAGTGCACTTCCTGGTTCTAAACCACTTAACCAGTAAACACACAGCCGACAATAGTTCTGTGTAATTCTCATTGTCTTCCAAATACATTTGCTTGAAGCTCAAAGCCTTTCTTCAGACAGATGTTGCAATTTCTCGCAAAGATAACAGCTTTTATAACGATTTTTTAACCATTGGAATCATGAATGGCTAAGAGTTTCTTTATAGGAAACCGCTTTCAAGGAACAAAAATAGTTTTCTTGAAATTTAATGAATAAAATATGTCCTGCTGCCCTTGTTAGTACCTTTAAAGTAAATGAAAAATACGAATATAATGTTCCGTGATAAGCAACTCATACTGAATACTAGTAATAAGTACAGGGTCTATCAGAGAAGCAGCCCTTCGTCTCTTTTTCCGTACTAAAAGTGCTCCTAATAAAATTTAGGTAATGTGCAGAGAAAGGTCGGAATATAAACATATTTGAACCTTTGAACAAACGTGTGCTAAACAATTGTGGTATCTCCTCTTCTGCCCTGGGTTATTCGCGTTTCCGGTTGCCGTGTTTATTTAAATATAGTGTGGTGTGCTCTTTCAAGCGACATGACACCCTTACACTCCAACTGTCGTTCTCAACCCCCTTCATCCTTGTGCAGGGAATGATGATCATAGTCTGCTTTATTATTATGCAGCCCTCTTTCCTAGTCTTATCCCAGTCTCTCTTGCCCCGTGAAATCCGTCTGTTCTACCCCTTGTTCACCTATTTCACTCGAATCCTGTCACCACATCTGTCCTACTCAAAGCGATATTCGCCCTCACCTGCGTTTTGGTGACTAATTCGAGGCGCAAACCTCTGAGTGTCATAGTCACCCCTTTGCTACATGTACCATGCCTTTGGTACAACCGATCTACCGTCAGCCAACTAGCTCCGGTCCCCGCCGTCTCTATCCTGTTTCTATCCCTAATACCAATTATATGATTTGCCATT